CTCTGTTGCCTGGGATAGAGTGCAGTAGCATGATCATAGCTTGCTGCAACCTCCAGCTCCTGGACTCAAGCGATCCTCCTGCCTCAGCCTCCCAAGTAGCTGAAACTACAGGTGCATGCCACCACACCCGGCTAATTTTTCTGTATTTTGTAGAGACAGGCTCTCTTGCTCAGGCTGGTCTCAAACTCTTGATTGAGCTCAAGGGATCCTCCTGCCTCGGCCTCCCAGAGTCCTAGGATTACAGCTGTGAGCCACCGTGCCTGGCCTGAGATGGCTGAATTTAAATTTTTTACTTTATAGGTTACAGCAATGGTTGAGAAATGTTATGACTTAAAAATTAATTCTATTTTTATCCATAGTAAGCCTTGCATTGTCTTTTTACTATGCAAGTATGGCATTTTTTACACACACCTCAATTTTGGTAGGAGAACAGTTTGAAGATGAAGGTAGTATGAAATCATTTACATTTTTCATTGAGGATAACTGGATTATATCAACCTCTGAGGATCTAGCTTTTGCACTGAATTGCTTAGGGTTTTGTATAAATTTTCAAGCAGCTATGGAAGGAATATGAAAGCAGTAAATTATTCCTTATGGCGTAAGCATGGAGGGAGGTTAATCTTGAAACATCTTTTATTTAATTGCCTAGAATTTTGCTTTCAAATTAGAATGGCAACCTTCTAACTGAATGGGGAGCATTTAATTTCTTGTCCAATTTTACCCCAACCAGACTTCTTTCTTTGCTGGTCGGTAGAGAGTTTGAACTGTTAGAAATTTCTGTGATATAAATAGCAGTAATAGTGTTCCAGGACAAAGGTAGGAACAGCTTGGGGTGTATGGGTAGGTGGGTGCGTTGTCACTTACCTCTTATCATGCCTTCAATGGTAATCAAGCCTTTTGGTCTCAGGATCTCTTTATACTCTTAAAAATTAGTGGAATACAAGTGGGTTGTATAGATTTATATTTACCACACTAGAAATTGAAAATGGAAACTTAAAAAAGCTTATTTGTAATTCATATTTTAAAAATAACCCCATTACATGGTAACCTAAATAACATTTTTTATGAAAAATAACTTCCAAAACAATTAAGAACTTGGTGAGAAGAGTAGCATTGTTTTACATTTTTGCAAATCTCTTTAATG